GGTCATGGCTCAGCCCCAGGCTGACAAAGATGTGTATGATTTGTCCTTTCAAACAGTCTTGCTTCCTGTAGGGCTGCGAGCCAGGAGGTTCCACGAGGCAGTCTAAGTTCAGCCACGTGAGCTCCCTTCCCCTCTTACTGTGCAGACCTGCTGAATCCAGGCCTAGCAGCTTCAGCCACCCTCCTACCCCCCCCCACCCCTGGGTTTGCACGGCAGTGTGGGCTGAGGGTGGGGCTCCTTGGCATCTGCACAAATGTGTGTGGAGAGGGTAGGCATGCTTCTTACTCCACACAGGTACCGTAGCTACTGGTCTTTTGATTGCGCAGCATCTCATACCATATGAGGTTCCCTTGCAGAGTCCGTGTTGGGTCCTGTCCTGTGTCTTTCCTCTCCCCACCCCCACCCAAGCCAGCAGTAACTTCTCAGCCGCCTTCTCATTGTTTCCAGATTCCATGTGCCTTTGGACTTCCCTGACCAAACCTCTCTCAGAATCAACAGGTTTGATTTTTGGTTGGTTGATTTTGTGGGGATGGGACTGAACTTTTTTTTTTAATCTGTTCTCTTTTTTGAGACAGGGTCTGCCTTGCTGTGTAGCTATGGATTTGCCTGAAACTCACTATTGTGGAACAGACTGGCCTCAACTTGTACCTATCCTCCTGCTTCATTTGCCAAGTATTGGGATTATAGGTGTGGCACCAGACAGAGTTTACCAACAGCTTCACTGACTATCAAAAGTGGGTGTCCATGGGTTCAATTCCAGGGATGAAGCACCATTTATTTGTTTGTTTGTTTGTTTTTGTGACAGGGTTTCTCTGTAGCTTTGGAGCCTGTCCTGGAACTTGCTCTTAGACCAGGCTGGCCTGGAACTTACAAAGATCCACCTGTCTGCTGGGATCAAAGTGGGGTGAAGCACTCTTAAGAAATATTTTCTGGATATATGTGGGCTATTGTTCACAGAATAGTTCAACCTAGAGTTAACAAACAACTAATCCAAAAGAGTTTTAGATGTTCTGCAGACCTTGTGTGGGGGCAAGTGGAACTTAAATTAATTAACATTACCTCACCTCTCATTGTGGAACAATAGAAACTAGGCTGGTCTGAGGTCCTTAAACACCTGTCTAGGCCACACGGCAGTCTGTGGGTTCAATTCTGACAGCTACCTGCCCCCTTTGCCACATAGGAATAACAACAATTAAATTATAATTTGTCCAAACCTTTTTTATTTTTTATTTATATTTATTTATTTATTTATTTATTTATTTTGCTTTTGAGACAGGGTTTATCTGTGTAGCTTTGATTGTCCTGGAACTCACTCTGTAGACCAGGCTGGCCTTGACCTCAGAGATCTGCCTGCCTCTGCCTCCTGAGTGCCAGGATTAAAGGTTGTGCATCACTACTGCACCTTACATTTTGAAATAGTCCAGTGAAAACCTCTTCTGGACCAGAAGTTCATTGATTTTATTTGGCTGCCTCTGGTGATTGACCTCAGTTATTAGCTTAGTGAGATTTAGAGTCACTTAGAAGAAGCACAGCATCTTATACACTATTTGCAGGGGTGGAGGTGGTGGTAGGAATGGCCAAGGTCAGCAGAGAGCTAAACCAGTCAATGTTGACAAAGGGAACAAGGGATGCTTCAGGCACAGCTGCCTTAGGACTGATAACAACAGCCCAGGAGGAAGCGTCAGGTCCTCTGAAACTGCAACCTTGATTCCTAACAAGGCACTGACTCCACCCCTGCACCAGCCTTGCCAAGTCCACTTCCGAACAAGGACACGAAAGTCAAGTTCCCTTTGTCCTTACCCTTCAGTAGTCAGAGGCAGGCAGATCTCTGTGAGCTTGAGGTCAGCCTGGCCTACAGAGAGGGTTCCAGGACAACTACAGAGATTTTTTTTTTTTTTTTTTTTTTTTTGGTTTTTCGAGACAGAGTTTCTCTGTATTGTTTTGGAGCCTGTCCTGAAACTCACTCTGTAGACCAGGCTGGCCTCGAACTCACAAAGATCCACTTGCCTCTGTCTCCTGAGTGCTGGGACTAAAGGTGTGCACCACCACCACCCAGCTGGATAAATGCTGTCTTGAAAACCAAGGGCTGGAGAGAGAGCTCAGAGACTAAGAGCACTGGCTGCTCTTCCAGACATCCTAAATTCAATTCCCAGGAACCACATGGTGCCTTACAGCCATCTATAATGAGATCTGGTGGCACCTCTGGTGTCCAAACACGAAGGCAGAACACTGTATACATAATAAATAAGTAAAGATGTATTTAAAAAAAAAGAAAAAGAATACCAAATCAATTAAGCAAAAGAACAAAAACCACACAGTCATTGAGCTAGGTGTGGTATAAACACCCTTAATCCCAATGTTCAGGAGGTTCTCTGGGAGTCAGAGACCAGTCTGACGTACATAATGAGTACTAAGTCAGTCAGGACTGCACAGTGAGACCCTGTCAAAAACCAAGACAACAATAAAACAAAATAATTTAGTCACCAAGTAAACAGTTCACAGAGTCCATGAAGCACATGAAGGTTCTCCCTGTTGCCTTCTAGATCCTAGGCCCTGCCTCAGCCAGGCCACTACAGACAGCATTTATCAGCAGCACAGTGATGGCTGCACCCAGGCTTCTCACAAGCTGGAACTCCAGACTGCCCTGAAGCCAGCAAAACCACCAGGGTTAGTGGCTGGCATTCCAGGACTTTAAACACCTCATCTCCTGGGGAGGAGAAGCTAAGTACCTCTGCTCCTACCTCAGCTTTCCAAGGCAGGGTGTATCCTGAGCTAAGGCAGAAGCCAAATGGCAACCCTATGATTGCTTAGGACCCCTGTCTTCCTTGGGATGGATGACAAGACTTCTCTTGGGCAGGATATCTATCTCCAGTCTTTATCAGTGCCCTCTGCATCCCCCATCTTGGACAAAAAGAGCTGAATGTCCCCTGCTGAAGGCTGAGTAACATACTAAGTGCCCCATGATTGCTGCTGTGACTACAGTCCATCTGATCAGGGTGTTGTGTAAGTTTCCTCTGAGATCGAAGCATTCCATCCTGCAGGGAAGCTTCATAAGCAGGAAGGCAAGCAAGTCAAAGCAGCTTCAGGAAGTCCCCGACACTGAGCAGATTCACTAGGCCCCTCCCTGCCAGAGTTAAAATATAAAAGCTGAGTCTTTCTCAGAGAAAGTGACGCTAAGTTCAAAGAAGACTCTCAGGCAAGAAGAGCTGCCTGGAAGAAACTAAAAAGGGCACTCTCCAACCTGTTGAACTGCATGCATTTGTGCAGAGCGCTCCAGGTTTCATAGCTTTATGAACCGTCACTCATGCTTTCTCTAATGGGCCTTGGTAATGCAATTGTCTGAGTCATTTCTGCTCCTGTAAGTAACCCCAATAAAACTAACTCAATTGTTTCACCAAGTTGAACTTTGTTTGTTCATTGTTTTTTGTTTGTTTGTTTGTTTTTTTGTGAATAGATGAGTGTTCTGGATAATTTTATTTCAATTTGACACGAACTAGAGGCATCTGAAAGGAAGGAACCTCAGTTAAAAAAATGCCTCCCTAAGATCCAGCTGTAAGGTGTTTTTTTAACCAGTGATTGATGGGGGAAGGCCTAGCCCATTGTGGGTGGTGCCACCCCTGGGCTGGTGGTCCTGGGTTCTATGAGAAGGCAGGCTGAGCAAGCCAAGAGGAGTAAGCCAGTAAGCAGTACACCTCCATGGCCTCCACATCTGTGTCTGTCTCCAGGTTCCTACTCTCTGAGTTCCTGTCCTGACAGTGAACAGTGCTGTAGAAGTATAAATCAAATAAATGCCCTCCTCCCCCAGGTTGCTTTGATCATGTTTCAGTGCAATAGAAACACTAAGTAGGACAATAAGTGTGTTTCATCTCCTCAGGAAAAGTCTTGACACACAACATAGGGACATCACCAGGTTGCACAAAGCCTGGGCATTGTAGGTTCCCGCCTGTCCAGGGACAATATGGACAGATGATAGCTGAAGCAAGGCAGCCTGGCCCTAACTGCCACTCTGACTTCTCTCAGATTAAGGTGAGGGTAAATGATGTGTCTTGGGTAGGATGGAACAGCTGTTTCTTGCCTGCTGTATCCTCAGGGCAAGTGAATGCCCTCTGAGCATCCAGTTACTTTCCTATGGCACCAGACCACCTGGGCTCAGAGTGGACAAGAGCTTCCGGTCCCTTACCTACTTTCTTGTAAGTATGTAGCTGTCTGTTTAGTGGGGACTCTTTCATGACCTTCCCTCCATCCACAAAGTCTAGCATTGTCAAAGTCTAGACTGTCAAAGCCACAACCCAGCACAGCCCATTTTCTGTGCCCTTCAGGGCACTCTGGACCAAGGGTAACTGCAAAGTGGGGAAGATAATCATTGCTTTACCTACTTCACAACAAGCCCTATGAAAAGTGAGAACCATACATGATGTGTGTGCATTCTGAATTACTACCTCCTACCCTCCCAGACTACTGGGAACCAACCCCAAGGCCTCATGCAGCCCAGCAATGTTCTATCACTGAGCCATGCCTGTGTGTGTGCACTCTCAATAAACAAACAAAACAAAACAAAAAAACCCTACAATCATGCCAGCCATCGGTGGTGCAACCTTGATCGAATCCCAGCACTCAGCAGACAGAGGCAGGCTGATCTCTTGTGAGTTCAAGACCAGCCTGGTCTACAGAGTGAGTTCCAGGACAGGCTCCAAAGCAATACAGAGAAACACTGTTCATATTTATGGGTTATTTGTTCAGGTATTCAAAAAAGGATTTCCAGTTCAGGAACTACTGATGATTCTTTGAGGTGCGATGAGGTCACTTACTTCAGGCTTGAAGAAGGGTGAGCTCAGGAGAGCTTGGGTTGTTAAGTGAAAATAAGAGGACCACTCTCCTCCATTTCAAAAGCATGAGAACTCCAGAGGAGAACATGAGACACAGTCCCTTCTCCAGAAACCCTTTCCTCCTCTACTGGTCTGTCCTCACCCGGATCCTATCACCCGTGCATAACAAACAGATTATTCAACTTGCTCAGTGTTTTATTGAACCAAGGCCCTAACAGAGGACTCACAGGGGCTTTCCAGCATGACCTTCCCATATGTAGATTCTGAGCCCAGAGGTTGCTTGGTTTTGTTATTTAGCTGCTTCCATGACAATGTTCCTTTAATATTTCCAAACGCTAAGTGTAAAGACTTTGCTCACACACACATACATACACTCCTGCCATATGCATCATGCTCACCAAAATCCTTCCACCCAGTTTGTGTGCATACATGTGTGCAAGGCACTGTACATCCATGACTACCCAGACTCCTGTCCATCTACAACAGGCCCAGACTCAGTCACTAGTACAGCAACACAGAAAACAACAAAACAAAACAAAAAGACACACATACACTAAGAGGTTTTCTGGACCAGACATGGTAAGGACTCAAGGGAAGAAAGGGAAGGAGAAGACAGGGTCAAAAGGGAAGCTCAGTGACTGTCCTGCTCAGCAGCAAGCCCTGACCAGTGAGGCTCTAGAGTTCACAGCAGCAGGGAGGGGACTCCCAGAAGCTCCTGAAGCAGGCCTTTGCCCTTGCCTTGGGGGCATTAAAGGAGAAGGTCCCTTTCTGGGCTAACAAAAGCCAGGTCTACTGAGTAAGGGCTATTTGAATCTCTAACCCCCAGATGTATGAGGGAGCCTACTCAGCTGTCAGTGTGTCCTGAAACAGGCTAAGTCAGACAAACAAAAATAAAAGCTGCAGATAAGACAACAGGAAAAAGTAAGCGCTTATGTTTTCGATGAAGGTGCTGTGCAAAGGCCAGGAGAAGAAAGCAAACAGCCTGTGCAGAAGCAGGGGTAGCATGCGGCTCCCAGACCACCCAAGGAGCTACTGCGCTCATTCTAAAGGGCTGAGGGTCTCTCCACAAAGGGGGCTTTCTGAACACAGGAAGACAAATCGTTAATACAAACAAGGAAAAAGGACTGTAAAAGGCTCCCATGAACACAAAGCACTTCCTCCTGGCTGGTGTCCACCCATCAGGCTGGGCTCTTCAAGATGAGACTGGCACCAAGATATGGAAAATTAGTGGAGTAAGACAGGAGAATCAAGAACAGGGACAGACAAGATGTAACACCACACCATTCCCCCAACACCCAATAATAGCACCTGAGGCCTGTAGCAAGTAGGTGGCCTTATAGGCCCATGGGACCCACTGGCTACCAGACCCCATGAGGTAAGGGTGGCAGCAGGACTCATCACTGGTCTTGCAGCCTGCTACAGAGTTCCCTCCGGCTCCGCTCCCCAGCCCAGCTGCGTGTCTTGAGGCGGAAGGTCCTCAGCTCATCCCTGAAGGCCTCGTGGTTCATGGGCCGGTAGTTCTGGGGCTCACAAAAGTTCTAAAGGAGGATGGGAAGATGAAAAGAATCCATCAGTTTGGGAGAAAGAGTAGGTTGTGCAGGGAGGGGCAAGCCTTTCCCTCTTTGGCCTACAGCCTGGCTGGACCCTGTCCCATGTCAGGAGAGCTGTGGCCACCCCACTCATGGTACCGGATGCTGTGGGAAGAATTCCTTGTAGCCGCCTTTGAGGATATACATCTCAGGGTAGTACAGGCTGGGGTAGTCGTTAGCTGCGCGGTCCCGTTCCCTGACGAACCGGCACCTGGAGCAGCGTGGGAAGGGGTTCAAGGCAGGAGACATGTCAGAATGAGATCTATGCCTTGTACATGCTGCTTTGGGGGCCTCCAAGGGCACAGGCTTCAGAGCACAGGAATGTCATCTACTAGGTTAGACTGGCTACTAGGTAAGAGAGAGTGGGGTGAAGACAGAGGTAAATCAGGAGTGGCTACTGTTTCTGGAAGGCAGTTGCATAAGTTAGAGCACTCTATGACATGTACCAGGAAAGAGGAAGCAAGAGAGGTGACCAATGAACACAATAAAAGTCCACTCAGAGACTCCCCTGGTGGCACAAGCCTATAATCTTAGACACATAGGATTCTGAGGGATTGCAGGTTCAAAACCTTCCTGAATTACAAAAAGAGCTTAAGGCCAGCCTGGACATTAGAGGAAGACCCTGTCTCAAAACAAAGGGTAGGGCTGGGAGGTGGCTCAGTGGGTAAGAGCACCTGCTGAGTAAATGTAAACCTGAGGACCTGAGTTCAAATCCCTGAACAACAAAAAGCCTATAACCCTAGCATTAGGGGTGTATAGGGTAAAAATAGGAGGATCAGTTGGAGTTAGACTGAAGGTCACAAGCCTTCAAGGTTTCTCAAGTTCTGTGAGAAACCCTGTCTCAAGGAAATAAAGTAGAGAGTATACAGCAGGATGTGTAATGCCCTATTATGGCCTTCTTCATGCATGTACTTACATGTATATATGTATGTACCACATGCATGTATACCACACAAAGGCACTCATATATATATGTGTGTGTGTGTGTGTGTGTGTGTGTGTATATACACACACACACACACACACACACATACACACACGATCAATGGCTAAAAAGAGTGCTTAGCAGTTAAGATCACTTGATGCTCTTACAAAGAATCTAGCACCTTAGTTCCCAGCACCCGCATGGTGGCCCACAACCATATTATACCTCCAGTCCCAGGGGATCCAATGCCCTCTTCTGGGCATGTAAGCATGCATACAGTGTACAGACATATATGCAGGCAAAATGCTTTCTTATAAAAGTTCTAAATCTAATTACAAATGTTAAAAAACAAAACTAAACTTCTTTAAGTGGGGGAGGGGGCGGTGAGATGGTTCAGTGAGTAAAGGCCGCACAACCATGGGCTTCATTCCTGAAACTCATGTAAACATGGAAGGAAAGAATTGATTCCATAAAGCCGGCCTCTGAGCTCCACATGAACACTATGTACATATGCCTCTATACAACATACATGTTCACGATAATTTAAATAAAAAGTAAAGGGAGGTGTGGGGTAGCCCTCCCCGGTAGAGGTCTTCCCTAGTGTATGTGATGACCTGGCTCAGTCACTAGGACAGCAACACAGGAAAAAACCACACATGCTCCAGAGTCTCCTGGACCAGATGTGGTAAGGACTCAAGGGAAGAAAGGGAAGGAGGCAGAGGATTCAACAGTGAAGCTCAGTGACTGACTGTCCACTGTCGGGCAGGGACCAAGTGCTGGGACCCCAGAGGACAGGGGAAGACAGCAGAGAGGAGGCCCCTGTATAGAGAATGGCAGACACAGATTCCAGCCACTAAGAAGCTACTTACTAGCTACCAGATGGAGCTGGTGACCACCCTGGACCAGGAGGCAAGAGAATGGATAACCAGAAAAGATCACTAATGGAGGAACAGAGGGGAGACAGGGGAAGGAAGGCTGAGGGCCCCGGTGGTAACCAGCATGGGAACAGGATACTAAATGCCTGAGTGTCGCTGGGAATGTGGCTTAGAACAGGGTCCTCAGATTTTAAGGACACTGATAGACTTGGCATCAGCTTTTGTTGGGGTGCAGCAATGGATGAAGGGTTGTCTGATGAGGTGGGTGGAAAGAAGGCAATAGGAAAAGGTGCTTTCCATAGCAGGAGAGCGAGGCCATTTCTAAACTATCAGAGGCAGCAAGAGGCTCTAGCACTCAGTTCTGGGCAGAGGCGGGCACTAGCTGAGCAGTAAGACAGCGCTAGGACTCACATGCGGGGCCCGCGCTCAGATGAGAATTCACAGTGGAAAATAAGGATGATTCTCTTGTCCAGGCTGCAAGGCTTGATGGGGTGCTGTAGCAGGAAGGTCTCGACATCCCGTTCCAGGGGCAAGTTCACAGCATTCTGTTAGAGCATCTGGCGGTCAAGCCGCAGCCTGCCTGCTCCTGGCCCCTTCTCTTTTAGTTCCCAGGCAAGTAACCCCACCTCTTGCTGGGAGGAAACCACCCCCACCCACGAGAAACACTCCACGGAAGGTCATTCATCCTCTCGGCAAGGAATCCAAATGGAGGGTCTGACCTTACCAGCAGCATCTCACCTTGATATGTCCGCCTTCATACTCATAGGGGTATCTGCAGTCCACAATTACAAATTTCTCCACCATGTTGCTGAACTTGCCTGTCAACAGGGCCACCATCTGCAGGAGGCCATCAGGGTTGGGGCCAGCAGGTGAGGTGAGTAGCCAAGGTTTTCGAGGGAAAACCTTCTTGTGATGGTCTGTGCATGCAGCCCACTCCCAGGGGAGGACAAGAGTCAAAAAAAAAAAAAAAAAAAAAAAAAAAAAAAAAAAGGTGGTCCCCAATGCACCTGAAGAGTGGCTCAACCCTGCTTACAGTTTCTGGTGAGATATACTTGAGGTCTTGATGTTTGCCATCCACAGTCTGCAGGAGGAAAGCCTGCAAGAAAAGGATGAGTCACTCGGGAAAATAACAGGCAGTGAGACAAGAAGACTGGAAAGGACAGAGACAACTCCTGCTTCAACCTTCAGATTCAGCTCTGAGTGCAACCTCTGGGTCCCCACACCCAGGAAACAACCTGGGGGGGGGGATAAAAACACAAAGGAGGAGCGCTAGGCCTTCTGGCTTTCTGCTCTGGGATGCAGAAACCAAGAGGTCAGGAAGGAGATTGCATTCCAGAGACTCATTTGGAAATGTTTTCAATGAGATATGTCAGATGCTTGGACAGATTTGAGGCGGCACCAGGAGAAGGGGAGCCAGAGGGAAGGGTCTGCATGAGAACAAGAAGGAAAAGATACAAGAGAGAAAGCGGGGGGGGGGGGGGGAGGCCTCTGGGGACAGGGCGGCAGATAACAGAAGTCCTGAGTCCTGGGACGCTACCTTAGAGTAATCTCCGATCAGTCCACGGTGGTCACTGTCCAGGATGCTTTCAATCTCATGACACAGGGACTTTGAGCGGAAGACACGGGCCTTCTGGAAGGCAAGGCAGATGGAGGCCAGGTCAGGGTTGAGACTGCCTCTCAGTGTCATTTGTCTGAGGCCCTCTTTCCCTGCCACATAAACAAGTACCTGCACACTACCCCTTGCTATACCTTTGTCCAAGAGAGCACACCCCAGACCATCTTCAGCCCAAATGTATCCCCAGGTGAGCAGTTATAACCCAGACCCAGGAGGAAGAAACTAACAGGTTCTTCAGGCTCTTGCTCCTCCAGGGGTGTCACACTCTTCCTGCGCTTGCTCTGGACAGGCGTGTCCTTGTCCTGGGGCCGCTCTAGCCTCTTGAGGATGGGCCGGATCACACTGCATGGCATGGAGGGAGAGCGGAAGAGCCGCTGGCACTTGCTGAACATGATGAGATCCTGACAAGGGTAACACAGGAGGAGTTAGAATGCACAGTCCCTCGACCCCACATCCCTAAGCTCTGAGGGGGGCACTACTGAGCCTCACCTGTTCCTCTTCCTTATCCATCTTTTTGACGAGTGGGGCACTAATGAGGTTCTCCATGCCTGGGGGGACCACATCATCATCCTAAGGTCAAATCAGCAAGGACACAATCACAAATGCAAGCACGGAATGAGCCTCACAGTCTTCCCTTGCCTACTCTCCCAGAAACGCTGGGCTGTCCCCAGCCCTGCTGACTCCTCTACCTATGGCAGTCCCCCAGACCTAAAGAGCCGTAGGGACCCACCTGCTGCTGGGGCTTGCCCTGAGCCAGGAGAAGTACCTTCATCATGCCCAGCCTCCATTCCTCTGTAGCACCAGCCCACCTGGTCGTCTCTGATTGGCAATATCAGGCTGTTACTCAGTTCCCTCAAATTCTTCTGACATTGGGGTAAGGCCGTAGTCTTGCTGAAGTCAAAGGTCTCCTTTCCTGGGCTAGCTGAATGGGGAGCAATAGGGGCCTTGTGGGCCAAAGCTGTTTACCTTCAAATCACTCTCCAGGATGTCCACAAACCCATCATCATCTTCAGATGCCCTTTCAACAGGAGTCAACGAAGAGGAAGATTGGGCCGTAGGGCTCAGATCCTCTACTTCCATCTTCCGTTCAGGGGTAAGACACTGTCCAAATGACAAACACTGACTACTCAGAGGAGGGAATCTTCCAGCCCTTCTGAGCATAAGCCTCTAGGACCTGGGGGTGAGGGTGGGGAAGTCTAGACCACTCTTTTCTTCTCTTAATGTCCCTCTAGCATTTTTAACCTTTGTTTGATGGATATGGGTGTTCCGCCTGCACATATCTCTGTGCGCCATGTGCCAGCAGTGTCCACAGAGGCCAGAAGAGGATATCAGGTCCTCTGGGACTGGAGTTATAGCGGGTTGTGAGCTGCCATGTGTGTGCTGGGAATTGAATCAGGTCCTCTGAAAGAGCAACCAGTGCTCTTAACCACTGCGCCATCTCTCCAGCCACCACCTCTCCCCGTGATATTTCTTGAGGGCCCTACAGGGAGCCAGTTCTCCTCATGTACCATTAAGTCAGGGGCTGAGCTTGGCCTTTGGGCAAAGGCCTCTCTGCGGCTGGCCCGCTCAGCCAGGGCTTGGGCAGGGCTGGGATGAGTGGACTTCCATGGCATCTTGAAGATGTATCCATCCTGTGGGCAAGATTGGAGAGGAAACATCAGGATAACCCAGTGTACCCTTCTCTCCCTGGACCTCTTCCATCCTTGTCTCTGGAAGCGCACATTCTCTTTGTCCTCCCCGGGGCTGTCGGCAGCTCTGTAGCCTGCTTCATTTTTCTTCCGGTTGTACAGTGCTTGGGAGTTGGTGATGTTCTGTAGCACAGGGCTGTGGTCCAGCAGCCTTACCTAGGGTCAGACAGGGCAGTAACTGCTAAAGGCTGCACTCCTACTATCACCCAGGCCCTCCCTACCTTCTGCTACCCTGTTCCAACTCCCCAGACCACTCAGCCATCAGATGCAACCCCATCTCCCCCAACCAGTTCAGGGATGCCTGGCTACTTCAAGCACACCCTCCAAGAGGTGCCCCTAGGATGTCCATGCTAGCTAGGATGCCTAAGCTTCCTGTCAGGCCTTGGAGGACACTCACTGGCAAGGATCGGAAGCGTTTTATGGTAAACTGCTCACTGCAAAAGAAAGAAGGACAGTTCAGAGCTGGGAAAATGGGGGGGGGGGTCAGTGACTTAAAGCAGGCAGGGTCTCCTTGCACCCAAGCCATCTACATTGCAGGAGGCAGCAAGAAGTAGAGAAGGGTAGAAAGCACTCACTTTTGAATGACCCGACTGGCTGCCTGAATGGCCTGTTCAAACCTAGGAGAGAGAAGTAACCCATTTTTCTCTGTAGCCAACATCTACCTCAAGCACCAGGCCCCAGCCCATCCCCAAAGGGCCAGCAATGAGAACAAGGACAAGGGCCTGTGGTCAGGCTAGGGGAAGGAGAGAGTAGGAAAAAAGCCCACCATTGGTGCAACCAGGTATCATGGATGAAGGAACTGAGGCAGCCTGGGATTGATTTTAAAGGCTGCCTTGAATGGAAGCAGGCCTAGAGAAAGGCAGCGATGGAGACAGCTGGGGCAGGTCACAGGGTCATTAAGACATCACCAAGGCAACAGTCTCGCCAGCCTGCACCAGCTAGCATAGGCCTTCCACCTGTATGCAAATTACATTAGTGGGGCCATATGGCCGCCATGAAAGGCACTGATCCATACCACAACAATAGGCTGAAGGCACCCTGTAATGTGGGTGACTCTGGGGTGGATGCCAACAAGGCCAGGTTTCCCTTTCTACTAGGAGAAACTGGCCTGGCTCTCTCCAGGACAGGGGGCCCCAGCTTTAGTATTTTTCTGGATCAGCCCAGAAGAAACTCCTAGTGACAAATATACGGGTTACATCCTCTCCTCCCTCCTATGGAATTTTCTAAGACCCAACCTCTTTTCTACCCCCTCCTTCTGTCTTAGAAGAGGCCAGCCGGCAAAGAATTCCAACAGATGTTCCTTTTGAGGCTGAGGCATTGGTTTCTGCATACAGCCCTGCCTGCCTTACACTATGTTGCTGGAGACCACCTGTCCAGTGGAACATGCTTACACACACACACACACACACACACACACACACACACTTCTTTATGAGAAACTAAATCGTCAAAAGCAAGTGCAGGCCCCTTAGAGGGGTCTGTGTGCAATCAACCTGGCATCATTTGTAGCTGGGCATTAAGGGTGAGAGATCTGTGTTGTCACTAAAAACCAAGCTACACTCCTCCCATCCCCACCCAATTCTTGTTTCCTGTTTGTGAGTAAACCCTGAGCTCAGCACAGTCTGATCAAAGGCATCAGGAGGAAGTAGTAACTGCCACCCTAAACCAAAAGCTCTAGCTGGCAGTGCTCAGCTGTCCTTCCTAATGCCTGACAGCTACTCCAGCAGCTGGATGGGGACAGGTGTGCTCTAGATGGCACAATTTGTGCCTATAGGCAAGGAAGTGGTATCTGCCCAGAGCAAAGACCAGCTTTCTCTCCCAACTCCCTATTGCAAAGGGCCTGGTCAAAGGTTGGCTAGGAGAGTCAAGTGTCAAAGCCAGTCAAGCCAGTATGCAGTCACTACTTTTGTTTGGTCTAGGTTTTGAGATGTGGCCGTGCTATGTTGCTCAAATTGGCCTTGAACTCTTCCTGCCTTAGCTTTCTGAGAATTTGGGATTACAGATAATGGACCAACACATCCATCAGGACAGTATGTTTTAAGTTGGAAAAACATTTCACATGTATAAAAATGTGGACAAACAAAAAAGAAAAATGGGACATTAGGTTTGTACTTCTGAATGACAATGCTAGCTGGAGCCAGTTATCAGAGTATACTTTCCCCAGAGGCCATTGTCCCTATGACCTCTGGTCTTGAACCTACTCTCACCTGGTTTCTATGATTGTGGGCTCTTCTTCAAACAGGAAGCCAGTTCTCAAGGCTTGGGGATCCAGCCCTGAGGGATCTGCCTTACTTTTTGATTTCCCTATGAGAATGCAGAATCCTGGGGGCTTGAGAGATGGCCCAGTGACTAGGAACACTTGTCACTTTTGCAGAGGCCTTGAGTTCAGTACCTAGCACTCACACAGAGCAACTCACAACAACCTGGAGCCCCAGTTCCAAGGGATCCAAAGCCCTCTTCTAGCCTCTCCAGGCCCAAACATGCACATGCACATATCCCCATGTGGAGAAACACACAACACATAAACACATAATTAAAAAACACATCTTAAAAAAAAGAAAGAAAAAAAGATTCCCAAGGGCAGGTGCCAACTCCTCAGTGGGAAGCCTCCCTTCTCTACTCACGCATGCTCTGCCTTCTGTGGGTCCATAGGACTGGGGGAATCCATGCAGAGACCTGGTGGGACAGAGCACCTTCCCTGCTTACCTTTTCCCAAGAAAGGAAAAAGAAACCTCTTCCTATTTGACATCAAGGCATACATACTTTAAGAAATGAAACAAAACCTACTCATGGAACCTGAGCATAGGACACTGACCCCCAAAGAAGCCAGGGTTACATTATCTATTTACTGTGGAACTGTCTCTACACAGTTGCTTTAGTTTTTGTTTTGAGACAGGGTTCCTCTGTGTAAACCTCCCTGGCTGTCCCGAAACTCACTTTGTAGACCAGGCAGGCCTTGAACTCACAGAGATCTGTCTGCCTCTGCTTCCCGAGTGTGCTGGGATTAAAAGCCTGAGTCACTACCACCCAGCCTCAACACAGTTTTTTAAAAGAGCAATGATTTCTAAGCACTTTTTGTAGGATGATTTAAAATGACTTGAAAAAGATAGGGACTTTCTAAGGAGAAAAGTGACAGACTAAGAGAATGTTTCACAAGGACGAACTTTTGGTGGTAGTAAGTGCCTTGTGGGTGGAGCTCTAGTTTAGTGGCTTCATCACTAGGGAGTAGGTAAGATAGTATTATTTCCTACCAAGGGCCAGACTTCCCCCAAGCTCCCCAGTTAAGGTTGGGTGTGGTAAGACCCACCAGAGGTGTGCTTTCTTTTCAGCTTTGAAGGCAAGATAGGAGAAGATTCTGGACCCACCCATCTGTGGAAAGGATGTTTATCTGATGGGCCAAGAAGTTAGCAGGCCCAGGCAGTTCCCTGATCTCTTCTGACATTAGAGGACCTCACCAAGGACCCTGGGCCTTACCTGCATCAGAAGATTCCGAGGATTCGGATGACAGGGAGGTACGCCTGGACAGAGATAGGCCCACCAGCCTGTTTTGGAATGACAGATTTCCTTCTTGAGTCTTTGGGGTCTCACTAGGAAGGATGAATAGGCACAGAAAAGGAGATGAATGAACGCTGGGTTTAGAAGTTGGTTGGTCCATGTTCCTATGTATTCCCTAGCTATGAAGGACCCACCCATTACTGAGAAATGATCACATCCTAGGACTATCCTGTATCTCAGGTCAAGCTCTTCATTCTACAGAGGCCCTAGAGGGTCTTCTCTGGATTTACTGGTTCAGGAAAGACCCTGCTAAGGGGCCAGAAGAGATGAACCAGGGAGAAGAGTGAGGAAGGAGTGTGGACAGGAGGTAGCAGGGAATTTCTGTAGAGCCTTTCCCTGCTCTTCATTCACATCCCCGTCTATCCATGCATTTTCCTGGAGGCAAAGACCAAGACCTGGGTCTCTACCAAGCTTGGGATCCCACAGGCACGTTTGGGGAGCTCTGCCAGTTTTAGTCAGTTTAAGTCTTAGGGGAGTTGGAGAGATGCAGCAGGGTGCATGCTTTGTATGACCCACTCCTATGCCAATTTCAATGATACTCTGCCTAAGGCACAGTGAGGGAGCAGGAGGGTGAATGATTCTTAGCTGGTCACCTGGAGGATGTAAGTCCCATAACTTCTGACTCGGCACCCTTGTGCCAGGTCCCTGAAGCAGGGGTAAAGGCGTTCGTGCTCAGCATTCCTAGGCTCTGGTGTCTATCCAGTCGGGGCTCCTCATCCCACCACACCCAGTGCTCATGGAACATCCTACCTGCCGAGCCCAGCGAGGTCATGCATGGTCTGGGTAAGACTGGTAACCGGAGAGGAGGAAGCCGCGCGCTCCGGAGACCCCAGGAAGCCATCAGACTCCAACCCGAAGCCTGAGAGGTGGCGCGGCCGCTGAACGCCACCAAGCTCGAGGTCAGGAATGAGAGCCAAGCCTGGCGTAGACTTCTGCTGGTGCACCTCCATCGTGGTGGGGTGGGCAAAGGCTAGCTACAGGGCCACAAGCACGAGGGCGAGCAGACGCTGATCCAGCTGGCTCGGCTCCGAGAGCGAGCCTGGGGTGAGGGGAAGGAGGGAGGGAAAGAAGGGAGGAAGAGCAATGGGCCTGGGAGTGAGGAGAGGGATGCAGGGAGGAAGGGAGGGAAGGACGCTGAGCTGGGCAGCTGCCACCTCCACCTCCTTATATATTCGAAAAATAACAGCGGCAGCGCCGCCAGACGCCACCAATGGGGGCGCCGGTTCCGGGAGGGCGGGACTGAGGGCGGGCTCTTGTGGTTGGGGCTGAGGCTGGACCAGCTAACTCTGTCCGCCAGGCTTCTTAGGGTGACTCAGGGAGTTGGGTTAACCCGGTGCCCCACACATACTCTCTGCTCCTTCTGACACGAAGAGCCTGCTCTCCAGGATTCTGCCTTCCTGGGACGCTGTTTGGAGGTACACACCCCCAGAGGGAGTAACCACCCCCAAGGGTAGCCTCGTACGGACCCCTCGACGTTTACCGTCACGCACGGTCAACGGCAATGAACCCTGCGAAGCTCTGCCTCAGCTCCAAGTGTGCGGTGCGATCTGCGTTTCCTGCCCGTTTACAGACCGGGACGTTGAGAAGTTCCTTGACTCGTTTAAGGCCAGGGGTTTGTTTGAGTGGCGGAGACAGAGACGCTCCCTCCCGGGCTCCTGTGATCCTGCAGCCTCCCTTCCGCGCTGCTGGGCGCGATCGCTGCAGGCGGCGCTTCGGGCTCGCGCCTCTTTGCGCTACAGAGCGGCGCTGCGGGTTTCAGGGGCTCCCACTTTAGACCGGAGCCCAATACTCTCCAGTAATCCCTGAGAACGTTTAGATTTAGGCTTGGGTTTCTGCTGCACCAGAGAACACAGGGGGGAAAAAAATCTCACACCCACTTAAGGTTTGGCTAATTTGGTGTTAATAGCACCGTATTTAGTGTTTCTTTGAAGGTGGAAGAGGCTGAATTTGCTATTAGTTTACAATGAGCGTCTTCTAATGATCTAATCACCTTCCAGCCAGGTCTGTTTTCCTGGAATGAGTTGGTAAGGACTAAGTGAGCAGTTGGGAACTTTTTCAAATTCGTTCTCCCTCAGGAAGGCGTGGCTTCTGGGCTGGTCATTGGGGTACAGTACAGGATTTAGGAGTTCTGCCTTTGCTGTTTAAGCCACCACCCCAGGCTGACTAGGTAGGGGTGGCAAACAGGGCGACCAAGGGTAGGGATGGGGTCCAAGAGGTTCAGCTGTGTGCGAAGGAAGAGGGCACTAGACACACCTGAGTAGAGGGAGTGACCAAAGTAGGAACAATGGCCTTTCTCATTTTCCCCAGCTCCTGTGCTATGCCAAGAACTATATACTATTAGGTAGTTAGGACCTGTTCCGGTCATAGGTCAAGCTCCAGCCCTCCAGTCCCCTGTCCTGCCCTTAGGGCCCAGGAGAAAAATGTGGTCGTCCCACTCACTCCCCCTGTCTGGTCCACCCCCACCATATGACATAAGCCCTTCTAGGTGAGAAAGGAGCCCTGCTGTGTTGATTTTGAAAGAAACCCCACAGCTGGAGGTGCTCCTTGTCCCCAGGGGAGGGGAAGGAGCCCAGGGGGGTCCTTCCAGGTTCACATATCAACTCACTTCTGAACTTGGTGTTGCCATTTAGGTCATAGACTATGTACTCAACTAAAACAACAAAACTAGTCCCTAAAGATCAGTGAGAAGATTTGCTCTTGTTGAAGTTAAGGAGGGAAGTGTCTCATTATGTAGACCTGACTGGCCTGGAGTTCTCTAGAGCAAGCTGGCTTCAAATTCATGGTGACCACCCTGCTTTTGCCTTCTGAGTGCTGGGATTACAGGTGTGAGTCAGCACTATCGACATACTAAAATATTTGCAACCTGCAGAGTAAGACGACTTCCCACATGGCATCATTTTTAGAGGCTTTTTAAAAATCAAGCTATTTTATTGTCTTATGTGTGTGGATGCTTTTGCCTATCTGTGCACTATCTGTCTGCCTGGTGCCCTGAAAGACAGAAAAAGGAATCAGATACCCTGAAACAGAAGGTTGTGAACTGCCATGTAGGTGCTGGGAATCAAACCTAGGTCCTTTGGAAGAACAGCCAGTGTTCTTAACTTCTAAGACATCTCTCCAGGACCCTTTTAGAAACTTCTCTGTTTCCCTGATTGGTCCACCCACTCCCCTCACCACATACACCTTTGTTCATGGCTTATGACTGTTAAGCTTATGTTCCACCACAAGTTCAGACAAAGGAGAATATCAGATGATACAAAAGGCAGTCCCCTCCCCCAGAGGATGCTTTTTTTCTTGTATTGTCTCCTGAAGATGATTCATACTGCCCAAAGGAAACACGGATGACTGCCACAGAGTTAAACATTTCCTAGTAGCCACATTCAAAAAGCAAAAGGGAAGCTGGCCTTGGTTGTGTTCTGTAAACTTATGGCGAGGGAGGGGACTGAGGAATGAGGATCACCGAGAGTCTGAGGCTAGCCTGGGCTGTAGAGTCAGACCCTGTCTCAAAAAACAAAAAAGCAAACAAACAAACAAAAAAACAAGAAAACCCTGAAACTACCAACAACAAAAAAAGTAAAAAGGGGCATGAGGTGTGTCTCAGTGGGAGACCCTTTGCCTAGGCCTGGCTTCTGGAATCAGTTCCTAACACAGCAAAAAATATAAATATATAAATAAATACAGTAAAATATGCAATTTTATTTGTATACTTTTAGTATTGTAGTTAATGTCATATATTAAAACTTTTATTGTGATAGTTTTTTGTCAACTAGACACAAGCTAGAGTCACCTGGGAAGAGGAAACTCAATTAAGAAAATCCCTCCATCAGACTGGCCTTTAGACAAGTCTGTGGGTATTTTCTTGATTAATGATTGATGTGGGAGGGCCCAGCCTGCTGTGGATGATGCCACCCTGGGCTGGTGGTCCTGAGTTGTATGTGTAGAGGGGCTGGAGAGATATGTCAGTGGTTAAAGAGCACTGGCTACTTTCCCAGAAGACACAGGTTTGATTCCCACTATGTATATGGCAGCTCACAACTGTCTATAACTCCCATTCCAGGGGACCCACACCGTCTTCTGACCTCTGCAGACAACTAGGCATGGTGCAGATGTACATGTGATCAAAGCATTCATACATGAGATGGATTGAATAAGATGGCACAGCTAAGCTTATATATTGAAATGCTTAGGAATGGCACTGTTTATTGGAGTAGGCATGGCCTTGTTGGAGGAATGGGCTTTGAGGTTTCAAAAGCCCAAGTCCAGCCTAATGACTCCCTCTCTCTTCCTGCTGCTGGTAGAGCTCCTAGCTACTTCTGCACCATGTTTGCCTGATGCCACCATGCTCCATGGTAGTGGACTAAACCTCTGAAATTGCAAGCAAGTCCCAGTTAAATGTGTTTCTTTATAAGGGTTGCCATGGTCATGGTGTCTCTTCACAGCAAGAGAATATTAGCTAAGACAATACACATAAAAAGGAAATCTAAGTAAGCAAACAAAAAGCAATATTTGTGGCTTGTGAGGCTAAGACTGGAGAATTATAAAGAGTGAACTACATACTGAGCCTCTAACTCCAAAAACAAAAACAAAACCAGAAGTGGTGGTGGCAAATAACTTTAATTCCAGCACTCAGATTTCTGTGAGTTCAAGGCCAGCCTGGTTTACACAGAGCCAGACCTGTCTCAAGCAAAACAAAACAAAACAAACCACAAAAACAACCAACAAAACCCAAACCGGCAGCAACAAAATATGTATGGGTAAATACCTAAAAAATATTCTTTGATTATAGGTGGATCACACATATAATCCTAACACTTGGGAGGTAGAGGCACAAGAACCAGGAGTTTAAATGCATCCTCAACTATATACCTAGTTCAAGGCCAGCAAAAACAACAAAAAAGACAATCTCCCCCTCCCCCACCCCAGTAGTAGCATTATACATTTTTATCCTCCAAAAAAAAAATATTTTTTTTGTATTTTAAAAGACTTAGAAGAATATGTATAATTTTTCAAGTAATTACAAATACAGTTTGCAGTTGTTGTTTGTTTGTTTGTTTTGAGACAGGGTCACATATAGCCCAGGCTGACCTCAAACTCACTGAGGAGGACCTTGAACTTCTGATCCTCCTGCCTCTATTTCTTGAGTACTGGGACTACATACATTTTCAATATAGCAGTCCCTCAGATGACTAAGTGGTGTTAAGGGCCCAGCAGTCCTATGCTGGGTGCATACCCAAGAGTAATGAAAACATGGCTGTCTAAAACTTTGCAAACGTTTATAGCAATATTAATCACAGCCAAAAGGTAGAAATAACCCAAATGTCCATCAACTGATGAATGGATAAACAAAACGCTATTATTAAAAGAAATAAGACATAAGCTCAAATTATTACCCATGTGTAAAACAGATGAACAACCACAGTAGATTATGGTTCCTCACTTTTGTTTGTGTTTTTGTTTTTCCAGACAGGGTTTCTCTGTATAGACTTGGCTGTCCTGGAACTTACTCTGTAGACCAGGCTGGCCTGGAAGTCAAGTGCTGGGATTGAAGGTATGTGCCACTACTGCCTGGCTGCCTCACCTTCTTTTAAGGTGAAGAAAACATTCTAAAATTGACTTGTACTGGTGGCTGTAAGCTGTATACTTTGGGTGAATTGTACAGTTAAAGTATATGAACTATATCATAAAGCTTTGTTATCTGAGAGAATACAGACAAGTTGAACATTCCTTTTAGGACTCTCAGATCTGGAAGTCTAGTGACAACCCTATAGTTAGATGTCTTCCATCCCACTAACATCATCTGTTATACTCCCTTTCAGAGCCCTCCTTGATGCCACAGAATGGTACTTACACAGCCATTCCCAATAGATAAACATATATATGCTTCTGGCATAGCCATTTCCAGACTTCTGGTCTGCCTGACAGTACACAGTTGTTATTTTTACCTTCTCTGAAATGACCTTTCTCCTGCCATCTATGTGGGGCTCTAGGATCACCATGTCCCGTAAGCGTCATCATCCCCTGTTAAGATTATTAGGGATGCCACAGTCCATCTGACCTTCTGTTGGTCCAGGCTACCTGGAGCTGCCGAACAGGTTTCATACCCATGATGCTTATCTTGCCCATCCTTCATGCCCATCGGCAAACTTTCCATTCTCCTTTCCTTTTTTGTTTTAATATGTATGTAAG